GAACTATTGAAATATTGGTATATTTTTAAATTAGTAATTGAATTCAAATGTATACGGTTGATTAATTTGTTCAAAGGTTTCTAGATATTTCTTTTAACAATAAAATGTATCTTGTAAAGTGTGGATTCTTAAAATTATTCAACTCTTGGTATTAATATTTAAACACAATATATTATTGTAAAATAGATTGAATTAGCCTAACAAAAAAGATAATGCTTATCATTTTTTTTCAAATGGATATCGGATTAGGCTTTATGGTTGAGGATTTATATTTTTAACAATCAAATGTATTATGAGCTGTAAATTCAAACAATTAGTATCTTTGTTCATGATTTTAAATTATTTATTTCAATTAGTATCTTTTGAATATTCGGTTAATTTAATTTTTTGTATGTATATTATTTTGGTGTGAAATATACAAATATTAGACTAATATATTTTCATTGAAGACGGTTATTAGATAGAAATTAAAATATTTAGAAATTTATTTGTCATGGAAATAAAAAATTAATATATACAATCTAAAAAAAACATAAATTCAATTGTGATATATGATGCAATCGTGTAACATAAATGTAATGTTGTTTGTTGTGATAAATATATTATAACTAAAATCAGCTATTTTTTAGGACTCTTTTTAATGAAAGTGGCGAGTGGTGCTATTTTTTAGGACTCTTCTTAATGAAATGGCAGGTGGTCAAAGCTTGATAATTGGCGGGTAAATATGGCGGGAATTCCTTAAATGGTTATTCTTTTAATATAATTATAGATTGGTACATACTCTGTGGAGACATTGCTCACAAGGTGAGAATAAATCTCATCTTCAAATAAAAGGTGACTTTCTAAGTCTGATACTAAAATGTTGACTTCCCAAAATATTGATTACATATATTCCCTAATACGCTAAATTACTTTCTGAAATTACCACACATTATATGAAAGTGCATACTCTAAAGTAATTGACCATATATTCGAGCACAATATATCAATAAAGTCGTAAATATTCCTATAAAAAAGTGATAACGTCATATGTTTTTCATATTGTAAATATTCGACCAGTCTTGGTGTGCTTTTTTCATTCCAAATTTTCATAAGTTTTTATCTACTCAACACTAATTTTCAAAAATCATCTACTTATCGTAATAACCCGAGATCAAATCGCATTATAAATCTCACTTAAATTTTAGTTGGCGGTCGACCGTCAAACACATCTATTAAATTAATTAACCATTTTTATTTTATCACGTACAATGCACGTGTTTTTCACTAACTATTTAAGAAGAATGATGAGTCGTACGTCTATTTATAGTTAGGGTCACATGAAAATTTATAATAGACAATTGGGCTAACTGAAAATGCACACCAAGAGCCTCATATCAAAATCTCATAATCTTCAAACACTAGACTCTCGTACTCATTATCTATAATATAGTAATCTACAACAACATCGACTGATGAATGTTATTAACTTTGTACATACTGATAGTGTGTATCTGTGTATGCATCTCCATTTTCACCTTCACTCCCTTGGACGTATCACAGACGGGAAGCCCCAAAAGGCCCGCTTTCTGATCACCTCCTCATTGATTTGTAAAGAAAAAAGCTAATTTGATTGAACTGTTGTTGAGTTGTGTCTTGGTAGTCATATCTCTCTCTCTCTCTCTCTCCCTCTCTCTCCCCTTTTTCTATCGTTTTCGGGTTTAATTTCGTTTAACTATGAGGCCCCTCCAGCCGCCGCCGGCCGCCGTATCAGCCGCTAATCGCTCCATCCGCACGCGCCGCCGGACGGACCTAACCCTACCCATGCCACAGCGCGACCCCTCCCTCGCCGTCCCCCTCCCCCTTCCCCCCAGCTCCGCGCCGTCCTCCCTCGCCTCATCCTCCAACCACCTCGAGTACTCCGAGCTGGAGCGCGTCAGTCGCATCGGCAGCGGAGCCGGAGGCACTGTCTACAAGGTCCTCCACCGCCCCACCGGCAAGGCCTACGCCCTCAAGGTGATCTACGGCAACCACGAGGACGCCGTTCGCAACCAGATGCGCCGCGAGATCCAGATCCTCGGCGGCGTCGACGACCCCAACGTGGTCCGCTGCCACAGCCTCATCGACCACAACGGCGAGATCCAGGTCCTCCTCGAGTACATGGACCGCGGCTCCCTGGAGGGGACTTACATCCCTCACGAACCCTCCCTCTCCGACCTCTCCCGCCAGATCCTCTGCGGCCTCCACTATCTCCACCGCCGCAAAATCGTCCACCGTGACATTAAACCCTCCAACCTCCTCATCAACTCCCGGGGGGTCGTGAAAATCGCCGATTTCGGAGTCTCACGCATCCTGGCCCAGACCATGGACCCCTGCAACTCTTCAGTCGGGACCATAGCCTACATGAGCCCGGAGAGGATTAACACGGATCTGAACCATGGCAAGTATGATGGATATGCCGGTGATATCTGGAGCTTGGGCGTGAGCATTCTCGAATTCTACCTGGGGAAGTTCCCATTTTCAGTCGGGCGGCAGGGAGACTGGGCCAGCTTGATGTGTGCAATCTGTATGTCCCAGCCGCCGGAAGCCCCTGCTGCCGCCAGCAGGGAATTTCGGGATTTTATTGCTTGCTGCCTGCAGAGGGAGCCTGGTCGCCGGTGGACGGCCGCCCAACTGTTGGGACATCCTTTTATCATGCAATACGCCTCGCCTGAGAATAGTAAGAGTAATAACCAGGTACATCAGCCTCACCAGTTGTTGCCGCCTCCTAGATCGCATTTTTCATCTGCTTGATTTTAGTTCGAGTTTTGAAACATAGCTGTGTTTTACTCTTTGAATTGAAAGGGATTCTGAATTTTTGATGGATTGTGGTAGTATTACTATTTCTACAAGGTGTGACCGGAGAAAAGCTTTTGGAGGGGATTAGAACACGATGAATGATAGGTTTTAAATGTGGTAGTTAGTTTTGGGGTGGTTCATCATTGTGATTGTTCTTGGAAATAGAGTGTTAATGTTTAACATCGGAAGGAATGAATGGAATGAACGAGTAATTCTATTTACAAGGATCATTTCTTTGTTTTCATTTGTTTGCCAATCTTGATTGTTTGCTTGGGATGGAAATCATTTTCGGTATTATGGTTTAAGTTTTGCTTGGTTTATTGCTTTAATTTAGTCCTCGCCTCATGAGTAGTTTGGGAGGTACATTGCCGTGTCAGCATGGATAGATGCGACCCGAGAAAAAAAACAATGATCTTTTGATCATATTCATCTTTTCTTGTCTTGGACATGGAGTAACTTATCTTTTGCTATATTTGTCGTATCGTAAATAGAAAAATCTATCCTAGTTAATAAAATTGCTAATCTGCGTCTTGGTTGCGTGCTTCGCCACGTTACGATGAGCTCGGTCTAAGTTCAACAAGATTTGGTGTTTTTCTTTTTAGATTGATTCAGCTCTTTTTGAGAGCTTCCTAACATTTTGCTGTGCAAACATGTAATCATATACATGTACCTTCTTTATTTTTTTTCTTTCCCATTTTAGCTGTCTCTTTAATGCAAAGCTCTTTATGATTTCCTTCAATAAGGCTGGTGAAATTGTCTATTTTCATTTTTATTTGATACTACTTATTATTTTGGCTTTTAATATTCATGATTCTGTCCCCTCCATGAGATTCTGCTTTTATTTTTCCCCTTTTCCCTAAATCTTTGCTTTTTAGACCTTTTATCTCAGTTTCCTCCACAATGCATGTGTGATTATTTGTTCATTTCAAGTTTTCTGAAGCAGATGAATGTAACAGAGTGTTGAAAATACTACAATGCCCGACGACTAACATAAAATAGAAGCTACGACAGAGGACTTTCAACCGCAAGTTTATCATTCCCCCGCCCGATTGTCGTATAAAAGCTTTGGTAGAATATGCCGCTTTCCTGAATAAAATCGACTACGATTTTAAAATATATCTGTAAAAAAATGTGAATTGAATAAAATAGCTTCTCTTTAAAACATTAAATTCAGTAATTATAGAGAATTTAATTTAACATCTCAAGTACTTTTTAGTTATCCACCGGTCGTATTGTATTTGCCTCTATATTAGTCCGTGCCTCTATGTTAGTTATCCACCGGTCGTATTGTACTTTTTAATTTAACATCTCAAGTACTTTTTAGTTTTGAAAGGAAGCCTAGTGCACTGTAGAGATGTTAAACGGCCTAGCCCTGGCGGTTTCGGGTTAGCCCTAACGGACTTCGGGCTAAACGGTCTGGGCCTAAAAAGCTCGAATTTAAACGGGCTACCAATAAAAGGACCTAACCCTAACTCTAGCGGACTTCGGGCTAAACGGGCTATAATAATAATAATATATAAAAAAAACATATAAATAAAAATTACAACGGCTAGTTCACGATTGTTTTCAACGGCTATTTAGTATTTACCGCTCTATATATATACAACTACGTTTCATGTATGAACACTCATTACAAACTCTTAAGTGACATGTTTTTTCTCAAAAGAAAAAAAAAATGTTCGAACTATTACTTATAATTACCATTTTACTACTTATTTTTGTACGCTTTGGAAATTTTCACGATATTGTATCTTACTGTTGAATTTATGTTCTATCACTATGTTCTATGTATTAGGTCTTTGTCTCATGTATTTTCTGCCGTTCTAATTCGCTTAAATAATTTGGTGTGAAGTAGAATAATGAAATAGTTAATAATTATCTTTCAAAGTCATAATAACCCGCTACAACTCATAGTTACATATAAATAGAATAGTGAAGTTGTAATATACAAATTAAACGGGCTAGCTCTAGCGGGCTTCGGGCTAGCCCTATCGGGCTTCGGTTTAAACAGTTCGGGTTTAAAAATCCATGATTTAAACGGGCTACTAAAAAAAGGCCCTAACCCTGTTTTTTCTCAGGCTAAACGGGTCAGCCCGTCGGTCCAAAGACCGTTTAACATCTCTAGTGCAGTGTATAATTCGACTTTCATTGTAAACAATTATATACAATGCAAACAAAAGGGGACAATGTCTAATTGATGACTCAACATAAATATTACTCGGCTGATTCAGTTTTATTTAAACAA